GATGGTTTGAGAGGGCCCTGATTCTGACCCGTCTGAGGGCCAGATTGTCTCCTCCTACCACCCCGGCCACGTCTTCTTGAGAAGTCCTGCCTTGGCCGAGGGGGAGGGTAGAATCTCTGGGGCTGAGGCCTAAAGGGTCTTCTCTGCGTTACCGGTGTATGCATGCCCAGTGAACGCATGATGGCCCGGTTGTCCTTCAGACTCTGCAGCCTTGAGTTTGTCTTTTCAGAGAACAGACCCTGGCCCTCGAAGGGTAGGTCCTGGAGAATCTGTTGCAACTCTGGTGATAATCCAGAGACCTGCAGCCATGCCCGAGGCCAGGGTCCTAGCCGCCAAGTCCGCCGCATCCAGAGAGGCTTGTAAGGAGGTTCTGACCACCTTCTTGCCCTCCTCTACTAGATCTCCTAACTCTTCCCTGGACTCCTGTGGGACCAACTCTTTGAACTTGGACATAGACATCCACGAATTATAGTCATAACGGCTCAGGAGTGCCTGTTGGTTGGCCACCCTGAGCTGCAAGCCCGCCGCCGAGTAAACTTTGCGCCCAAACAAGTCTAGGCGCCTAGCGTCCTTTGACTTAGGCGCAGGGGCCTGTTGGCCATGGCGTTCCTTTTCGTTGACCGAACCCACGACAAGGGAGCACGGCTGGGTGTGTGTGTAAAGGAACCCGTATTCCTGAGAAGGAACAAAGTACTTCCTTTCCACGCCCTTGGCCGTCGGTGGAATAGAGGATGGCGACTGCCAGATTGTCCTGGCAGTGGCCTGTATAGTCTGTACGATGGGGAGGGCCACTCGAGACAGTGTCTCGGCCGACAGAATGTCCACCACAGGGTCCTCTACCTCCACCACTTCCTCCACTTGGAGGTTCATATTGCGCGCCACTCTGTGGAGCAGTTCCTGGTGGGCGCGGAGGTCCATAGGGGGAGGACCCATAACAGTAGTACCCGCCACCGCCTCATCCGGCGAGGATGAGGAAGATACCCCTGGGGCTAAGGGATCCTGGGTGAGGTCCTCCTGTGGAGGGTCTTGCTGGTCAAGGTCAGTGATGTTAGCAGGGTGGGCCTGCAATGGCACTGGAGCAGTTGTCTCAGCATCCCCCGGGGGGGGCGAGATGCTGTGGCCTCTGGTACTCGTGGCTCTGAAGGGGTGGAACAAGATGCCCTCCAAGGAGCCCCTTGGGCTTGATGGTATGCCCAAGGGGTCCAAAAGGACCACTGTGGGGGTTCCTGGCCTGGGTCCTGGCCTTCTTCCAGCCACTGGCCTACATTGACCTCGCCCTGGTCCTGGGCATGGAAGCCACCTTGAAAGCGTGATGGCAGTCCTTCAGTGCCGGGGACTGGTGGCGTGATGCGGAGCGGTACCGAGATGGCAAACAGTGCCTGCAGTCATAGCGGTACCGTGAGCCCGATCTAGATCTCGATGGAGATCTCCGACGAGATCGGCCGCGAGATCGGCTCCAGGACCTGTACCGGGAGCGGTGCAGAGAGTCCGATTGGTACTGACCATGCCGCGATGCAGACCTCCGGGAGCCAGAGCGGCGGCGTGAGTGCAACTGGCGCCAAGAACGAGATCGGTGCCGGGACTGCGAGCGGCGCCGAGATGGGTGCCGGGACCACGATCGGGACCGGGACCTGCTTCGCTGGGCGACGGCGGTCGCATCAGGGACGGCTTCCCTTTTGATTGGAGCGTCTGCACCGGTGGTTCCGGGGGCTGTTGAAGAATCGGCTCCATGAGCGCGATCAAGTTCCGCGCTGTTGCGAAGGTCTCCGGCGTAGATGGCAGTCCCAGCTCAACCACGGTGCGCCCCGGGGAGCTCACTGGTGCCGGACTCGACGGCCCTTGCGGTGCCGGAGTTGACGGTGCCGGGGCCGCTAGTTGTCCCACATGCTCCGGTAATGGGCGCAGCTCTGGCAGCGGTGCGGGAGGCGCCGGCGGTTGGTGAGCCGACAAGGTGGAAGCGGCCGTCACCTGTTTGGGCTGCTTCTTCCTTTGACCCGGAGACAGGGACCGGCGTTGTGGTGGTGGAGGCACCGTGGAGGTATGGCGCATGTCTTTCAACGAGTCCGAATGCGGTGCCGGACCAGTCGGTGCCGCAGGGGCACTCCGCACCGACGATAACGGTGCCAGGTCCCGCGAAGTGGAAGGGACCGAGTGCCGCCTCCATGAGGAGCTGCTTCAATCTAGAGTCCCGCTCCTTTCTGGTCCTTGGCTTGAAGCTTTTGCAAATGCGGCACTTGTCCGCTTGGTGGGATTCCCCCAGACACCTTAGGCAGGAGTCATGGGGGTCTCCCGTTGGCATCGGCCTCAGGCAAGCCGAGCAGGGTTTGAAACCCAGAGACCCCGGCATGGGCCTAGGCACCGGGCCGGGGGAGAGTGTGTGTGTGGGGGGAAGACCCCGCTCCCTCTCAGAAAGAAACTAATCTAATCTAACTACCACAACTGTTAAACAGCTATTCACAACTACTTATCACTAATGAGAACTATTAGCAAGTAAGGAAAACGAATGCTAGAGAGAGTGGAGAAGAGCTAGCTGCGCTCCACAGTTCCAACGACCGTCACGGGCGGTAAGAGGGAACTGAGGGGGCGCTGGGTCGGCAGGGGCATATATCGGGCGCCATAAGCGTGCCACTCCAGGGGGCGCCTCAGCCGACCCACTGAGTGTTGCTAGGGTAAAAATCTTCTGACGATCGTGCATGCGGTGCACGCACACCTAATTGGAATCGACATGAGCAAGCACTCGAAGAAGAACAGAGCTTTCTTGGAGGCCAGCCGAAGCCTGTAGAATAAACACCCACAGGAATTAAGAACCATCTCAAAGCCCACAACCTTCTGCTCAAAGTGCAAGTCACAAAGTGCATTCCTATGACATTGTGTGATGGGGTTCATTCATCCCGCACTGGGGTTAACTCCTCATTGTGGGCTAAAGAAACCATGCCCCCACGTCCCTACTGGGCATGCTCCAAGTGCAGCACTAGTATAAAAGGGAGCAGCTCAGTCTGGGCTGATCGCTGAGGAGGAAGGACACACCTCTCAGGCTCCAGTCTGGGAGCAGCTGGAGCCCCTGACCGTGGAAGCCAGAGGTGCCAAGACCCAGACAGATGCCTGGATACCTACGAACGCCCAAGAGGGATCGGAGTCACTGGGAACTGCATGCGCCGAGAAGCCCTGACTACTGCTCCAAGAGAAATTGAAGGAAGTATCCCAGCGGGGACTAGCTGTAATCCTGTGGGAAGTCGGCATGTTTCAGTTGGAGCCCCACTGACTCAGTGGCCCTGTTAGGGCCCTGCATTGGAATCAGGTGGAGCAGGGTGGGCCTGGGTCCCCGTCCTTGGCACCTCCCCCTCCAGATGGTTGCCCATTGGCTCTGGCTGCTAGGCCTCACTGCCCCACGGGTAAGAACAACTCCATTGGCTCTGGCCACTAGTCCTTACTGCGCTGTGGATAAGGCCAACCCCATTGGCTTTGGCCACAAGGCCTTACGGTCCTTTGGGTAAGGACAACCCTACCGACTCTGGCCACAAGGCCTTATTGCCCCGCAAGTGAGGGCACCACTCTGACTCTGGCCATTGGGCTGGCCAGCCATGAGAGACAGGGCATCCGTATCGACCTTTACCATCAGGTCTTCTAGCCCTGAAGACAAGGGCAGCTGAATTGACTCTGACCACTAGGCCATACTGTCCCTGAGACAAAGCCAACTATATCAACACTAGTCATCTGGCCTTATCCCCATGAGGTAGAGGGCAGGATCTGGAGAAGATCTTACCATGATGAGCCCCTGTTTTTTCTGCAGCAGAGTGAGTGTGATCCCATACACCTGAATGGACACCAGCTTGGCCATGGAGATGTTCCAGCTGCCCCAGGATTCTTTCTCTATGCTGATAGTGAATGGTGTAAGGTGGCTGGCATCAGTGCAGGTCTTGGCCAGGATGTAGGTGCAGGTGCCTTGGAAGTCAAAGGAGACCCCGTCGAAAGAGAGGTAGTGGGGATGGCCAGAGGCAGAACAGGTCGCAAATCCAAATGGGTGGCATTTCTGGACGCCATCCACCACCCCGCATTGCTCACCAGCGCCGCAGGAGAATGCCTTACACACAACCTCCCCACCAGCCTGACACATGCACTGCTCCTCACATGAACCGCTCGGGTGGAAGCTCTCTGCAGCCTGGTAGTAAAGTCCTCTGTGGAGGCATCCGCACTGGGAAATGGGGACGCAGCGGTCGCCACTGAGAACAAAGCCCTCATCACACACGCAGCCTTCCTTGCACTGGGTCGTGCATTGCACCGGGGCATAGAGGTTGCTGCATGTCAGATCGCAGCTGCTGCTGCAGAATTCATAGTGACTGTTCGGGGGACAGGACGGAGCTGTAATTAGAACAAAGAGTTAGCTCATATAGTGCATTAGCAATGTGCACAATGAACCATTACAGAACATGCAATTTAATTCAAGCTCCTACTTTTCTATTTCCTTGGTTTGGTTTATTAATAAAAGGCACTCTCTGTAATGGGGTCCCAGGTCTGATGAACTGGCTGCCTCACAGAGGCCAGGAGATGGGATACAGACAATCTCTCTCCTATGATGGCTTCTAATTCGGTTTATTGTTTCATTGTTTCACTACTAGCTTTTTGTTTTGAATCCTGGTCAGTATTGGTTAAAATTCATTACCAACTGATGGCTTCTGTGGGATGAGTTGGTGGGTTCCCAGCTCAGTTCCTAATGAACAAACATCCCAATTAGTAGCCACCCTGAGTCCCAGCTCTGATTATGTCCCAGTCTCAGAAGGGAAGGCAAGGATTGGACTGGCCATGGAGAGCACACTACATCCTTAGCAGTGTTTCCCTTGCCCATGGTGCAATTGCCAAGGCCACTACGAGTGCTGAACCCAGCCTGCTGAGAGAGACCTTTGTCTGTTAAAAATGTTCTGCAGTGTTTAGATCCACATCTACCAGCCAACAAGAATTAACAATCCCCATGGGGCAGGCAGTGGTGAACACAGGGGACTCACAGCAGAATTGCGTAGTCCTCCAGGGACGCACCATAGCTCCAGCTTCCTGACATGCCTCGGCATAGGCAGCAACGGCCTGGCAGACGTTACTCTCCCGCGCACTGAGGACGCAATAGCCATCCACGCAGTCTACGAAGTATCCATGGGGGTCCACTTTGCTGTGACATCCTCTGAAAGGGCCATTCTTGTATAGGATGAGCCCACACTGCCCTCTGCTACCTCGTTGTTGTTTTTCAATAGCCTCTACACTTGCGCATGGTGGTATCATTACAGCAGAGCATCCCGGGAGGTCGCCCAGCTTCCAGCTCTGGCCAAAGCTGACGGGGCTTGGTGCCAGCGTGCCATCCCTCATGAGCATGTCATCATCCCTGTCACTGTTAAAATTGCCACACAGACCACACACGGCTCCCGCGTAGGTGACTGGCAGAGTGATCGTGGTGCGTCCTGACCACCCGGCATAGGTAACGGTGAGACCAAAGTCTGTCTGGATCACTGTGGCCCAGCCCTTTCTATACACAGTGATTTTCGTATCATTGAGGTTGAAGGGAAGGGTAATCAGGAAACGATTCACCTGTAAAAGCAAGACACATGGGATATGAAACATCGCTCGCTCTGGTGGAACCTCTGGCTCCAGCACAGAGCTCTGGCCCATCTACTGCTGCTGAAATCTTCATCCGGGCTGACCTGCTCCCTTCCCTACAGCCTGCCTGAGTCCAGCTCCCCAGACTGGGCAGGATCCTCCAACCAGACTTTCCTTTTTTCTGACACGGGCTATTGATGTTCCCTCCTCTGTGAGCCCCAGCTCTCCAAGTTCCCACATATGCTGGATGCTATTGACACCTTCTCACAGAGAGGAAGTGTAACCACATCGCTCCAACCCTTAAGTTTCTCCTCTGGCTCCCCATTCACATAAGAATCCAGTTAATATTTGACCTGTTTTTTAAAATCCTTCCATGCACTTTCCGCGATTTCTGAAACTCACCATGCTTTTGCCAGGGAATTGATTGCTGACCCTGATGTCAGTCTCATAGACCTTGATCTGCACAGGACCAGTATTGCTTTCCTGGAAGTAAACCTCAAAGTCCACCAGTCCCTCCGCCTTCTTGCACAGAGCCGTGAGCTGGTAGCGGCAGGTGCCTTGGAAGTCGTATCTCTGTCCATCAAAGGTGGCATAGTGCAGATTTCTTGTCACAGAGCAGATGGCATAGCTGGAGGGGTAACAACCCCGTACGCCGTTCACTAGCCCGCACCTCTCTGAACGTTTGCATGTAGCAGCCACGCATTCGACTTGTCTAGTGGCTGCGTTGCACATGCACCGTGTCCCACATGCCTCATCGACCCAGAAGCTCTCGTTGGGGGCATAGGGGCGCCCCTCGAACAGGCACCCACAGCTGCTCTTGGGGATGCATTTGCCCTGGCTCAGCACAAAACCATCCTTGCACTGGCAGCTTTCCACGCAGGGGTCTTGGCAGCTGCTGGGGGCTGACTGGTCCACACACGTGGCTGGGCAGGCTGTTCCACAGAGCTGGTACTTGCTGTTCTCCAGGGGGCACTCCATGGCTGGGGAGTGAAGGACCCACAGAATTAGCAACAAGTTCTCTCCAAGCAAAAGCAGTATTTAAAATATAGAGAAAGGGACATATCTAATGGGGCACAAAGAGCTCTCTAGTCCCACTCACCTCAAGAAGAGTCAATGATGCTCATCACATTGCAGGAGGTGCCTGGCACCTTAAAGGATCATGCCCATAAAGGGATGATTGACTTAAAAATTGGCATCATCTTATCGCAGACTCCCATGTTATATATTCACAGTGAAAGCCACCTTAGAAATACCATAGACAGACAGGCAGAGATACTGTAGGTACAGTACAACCCAGAGTCCTCATATCCCAACCACTGTTCAAAGCACTAGGCCACACTCCCTCCTAAGGAGAAGAATAGAATGCAGGAGTGCTGACCCCCAGACCCATTTATATAATGTTGGCATTCAAATCTGTACTCACAACATCTGGCCAGCTGCCTCCATTCCCCAATCTTGACCCCCTCCAGCTGGCAGGCGTCCGCATAGGCCTTCAGGGCCTCACACAGGGCCTTCCGGTAGCCGTCATTGTGGCACAGATCGTACACGCAGTTGTCCAAGTAGACTGTAGGATCCACCTTGGTGTGGCACTGGCTGAAGGGCCCATCTGAGACCTTGATTATCAGGCCGCACGAGGCCTCCTCCTTGTACTTTCTGGCTATGCTGGGGGCACAGGGCCTGCAGCCTCCAATGCAATCGTGCCAGCAAAACTGATCCTCATCTTCCACTGCCAAGCTTTGCTCCTGGAGAATGACACTGGGATCCTGATCCTTGGCTGGGGTCCAGAAGTCATCGGAAGGGTTCCCATTATAGTTGCCGCACAGGCCGCACAGGCTCTCAGAGAAGTCATTAGGGACGGTGACCCTCAGGTGGTTGTTCCAGTCATAGGACACTCTGAGGTTGAAGTCGGTGCGGAGGACGAGGGAGGTGCCGCTCTGATAGAGCTGAAGGGCCCCATTGTTGAGGGAGATGGGTAAGTGGGCCCTGGTGTTATTCACCTTCATGGTGAGAAAGAAAGGGCAAAGGTCACAATCAATGGCACTAGTCAGGGGGAGGGGGATAGCTCAGTGGTTTGAGCATTGGCCTGCTAAACCCAGGGTTGGTGAGGCCTCATCTGGAATACTGTGTCCAGTTTTGGGCCCCACACTACAAGAAGGATGTGGAAAAATTGGAAAGAGTCCAGCGGAGGGCAACAAAAATGATTAGGGGTCTGGAGCACATGACTTATGAGGAGAGGCTGAGGGAACTGGGATTGTTTAGTCTCCAGAAGAGAAGAATGAGGGGGGATTTGATAGCTGCTTTCAACTTCCTGAGGGGGGGTTCCAAAGAGGATGGAGCTCAGCTGTTCTCAGTGGTGGCAGATGACAGAACAAGGAGCAATGGTCTCAAGTTGCAGTGGGGGAGGACTAGGTTGGATATTAGGAAAAACTTTTTCACTAGGAGGGTGGTGAAGCAGTGGAATGCGTTACCTAGGGAGGTGGTGGAGTCTCCTTCTTTGGAGGTTTTTAAGGCCCGGCTTGACAAAGCCCTGGCTGGGATGATTTAGTTGGGAATTGGTCCTGCTTTGAGCAGGGGGTTGGACTAGATGACCTCCTGAGGTCCCTTCCAACCCTGATATTCTATGATTCAATCCTTGAGGGGGCCACTTAGGGATCTGGGGCAAAATCAGTACTTGGTCCTGCTAGTGAAGGCAGTGGGCTGGACTCAATGACCTTTTAGGGTCCCTTCCAGTTCTATGAGATATATAATATTTAATATATGGAGATATACCTTAGTCTGTCATTTATATTTCATTCTGACTTCTGCTCAGATTAGCAATGGGCCCCATCCAAAATTTTCACTGAATCTGGTCCCAAATCGGAGCCAGAAATAGTTTATAGCATCATGTTAGATAGAACTGGCTGGAGAAAAGTAATTCTTTATGGTGGAGGATTTCAATATTTTGAAAATTGGTTCCGTCCCAATTAAGAATAAATCTAATCAATTGCAAAATTTTCTCTGAAGGGAAATGGAGATCTGGCTCTGAGGCAGTCCTGCTGGCAAGATGCCAAAGAGCCAGGTCAGCAATCTGGGAGAAAACCAGGTGGGTTTTGGAATTTGCATGGTTTCCATCAGAACATCATTGAAATTGGACCATCTCTTCAAAGCCTTTTGACTGTGACAAATTGGCAAATACTGAAGAAAACTATTTCATTGGGATTTCAAAAGGACTAAGACTAGGAATTGGTGAGGCCAACCATGGGGGAGGGGGACGGCTCTGGTTAGAGCCGTTAGGGAGCCACCCCTGTGGGGGAGGGGTCTATGGTATTGCCAATCTCAAGAGATCAAAAATCGTGAGTCAGACCCTAAAACTCATGAGATTGGCCCCAAGAAATAAAGAGCTTCTTTTAAAAGGACTGCACTGTGATTTGCGGCCTGTCTTTTGATGTTAGAACTCTTCCACCCACCTCAGTGCGTGTCTGTGACAATTCATGTTACCCACTCTCCTCAATTTATAGGGGAAGGGGATTTTGGTCCCTGTTGCAGGAGCTGTCACCCCCACATTTGCCTGTCCCCTGTGCAGTAATTAATCCTGTCCCCCAGTCCCTCCCTTCTGTTCTCTCTGCACCCATTCCCTACCCTATCAGTTCAGGGACCTCAGTAACCTCCCCATTGGTCCTGCCCCCTGCCCCACATCCCCATCAGTCCAACACCCCCAGTTCAGTTCCTCATTCTCCACCCCAGCAGTACAGCTCCCCTATGTTTAAATATATGGAGATATACCTATCTCATAGAACTGGAAGGTCATGGAGTCCAGCCCCTTGCCTTCACTAGCAGGACCAAGTACTGATTTTGCCCAAGATTCCTAAGTGGCTCCCTCAAGTATTGAACTCACAACCCTGGGTTTAGCAGGCCAATGCTCAAACCACTGAGCTATCCCCCAAGTTCAGCACCTGAGCCCCCATCTCCATCAGTCCCCCCTCAGTTCAGCCCCAGCCCCACAGCCGGCTCCAGGCACCAGCGGAGGAAGCACGTGCCTGGGGCAGCACATGCTAAGGGGCACATTCTGTCCATTCTTGGGGTGGCAGAGTCTGAGCTTTTTTGCTGTGGCAGTTCAGGCAGCAAAAATGGTAGAGCCAGCCCTGCCCAGCCCCCGCCCCCACCTCATCAGTCCCAGACTCCTGCCTGCACAATTCAGCCCCCCCCCCCCCCCAGCCTCTCCTCTGCTCCTTCTGGGATGCTGCAGGAGGGGAGGAGAATAGGAGCTGTCCCGTCCCGTTGCTCATGGGACAGGGGAAGGGAGGGAGCGGCACCACCCTGGGCAGCAGGGCTCTTTGCTCCCCCGAATCAGAGCGGTGAGCGGAGAGGAGCAACTTTGCTGGCTTCCAGCAGGGCTGGACTTCGCCAGGGGGCTGGATAGGGTTACCATCCATCCGGGTTTCCCCGGACATGTCCGGCTTTTTCAGCCTTAAATGGCCGTCCGGGGGGGATTTCTAATGAAGTAGAAATGTCCGGGATTTCCCCTCCTGCGGAGTGCGGCGCGGCTGATTGGACGCCTGGCCTGATTGAAAGCCGCTCGCAGCCACTAGGGCCTCTAGCAGCCAGAGTCCCTCCCCCTCCCCCGCCCCCTCCTCCCCCACAGAGCAGCTCGGAAGTGTTTGAGTCCACGTGGAGCCCGCATTTCTCCCTCTGCCCGGTGAGCAGGGCAGGCGGCGGGGGTGTGTGTGTGGGGAGCAGGGGGCACAGAGGCTGCAGGGGCGGGGGGGTGTAGAGGCTGCAGGGGCAGGGCAGGCAGGGGGTGCAGAGGCTGCAGGGCGAGTGGGGAGCAGGGGGCACAGAGGCTGCAGGGCGAGTGGGGAGCAGGGGGCACAGAGGCTGCAGGGCGAGTGGGGAGCAGGGGGCACAGAGGCTGCAGGGGCAGGGGGGGGGTGCAGAGGCTGCAGGGTGAGGAGGAGCAGGGCAGGCAAGGGCATAGAGGCTGCAGGGGCTGTGGGGCGAGTAGGGAGCAGGGAAGCACTTAGCAACCCCCAACCAAGATCAGAGCGGGAGGGAGGAGGGGGAATGCGGGGTGCTCAGAGGAGGGGGCAGAGTTGGGGCAGGGACTTTGGGGAAGGGGTTGGAATGGGGGCGGAGAAGGGGTGGGGTTGGGGCGGGGAAGGGGCGGAGTTGGGGCAGGGCCGGGGGCAGGACTGGGGCCCCATGGAGTGTCCTCTTTTTTAAATGTTTGAATATGGTAACCCTAGGGCTGGAGCTTCTTGTGCCATCACCAGACGAGCCCCGGCCCCCAGCGAAACCCCGGCACTTGTGAAGAAAACACAAGACTGGCAATGCTGGGCCTGTGTCAGCTAGAGCCATTAGGGAGCCGCTCCTGAGGGGGAGGGGCCGCATTAGTTACAGCTGTTAGGGAGCAGCTCCTGTAGGGGAGGGGGTCGCACTGGTTAGAGCCGTTAGGGAGCAACTCCTGCAGGGGAGGGAGCCATGTCGATTAGAGCCATTGGGGTGCAGCTACTGTGGGGAGGAGGCCATGTCAGTTAGAGCCTTAGGGAGCAGATCCTGGGGGGCGGGGGGGCTGTGTCAGTTATTGCCATAAGGGAGAAGCTCCTGCAGGGGAAGGAGCCATGTCGGTTAGAGCCATTGGGGAGCAGCTCCTGTGGGGGAGGGAGCCATGTTGGTTAAAGCTGTTAGCATGCGGCTCCATCAGGGGAGGGGGCTGTGTCAGTTACAGCCGTTATGGAGCACCTCCTGTGGGGGAGGGGGCCATGTCAGTTGGAGCCATTAGGAGCAGCACTTGAGGGGCAAGAGGTCTCAAGGAGATGTCTAGAATGTTCCAGGGCCCCTGAGGCACCTCAGTTAGAGCAGGCTTTGTAAAGCAGAGCCCCTTACCTGCCTAGATGTGCCTCAGTTTCCCCATATCTTAGAGCTGAGGCAACATCCTCCTGGATCCAGGAGTGGGGATTCTCCTCAGGTGGGGTCTCAGAGGGATCCCTGTTACATTAGAAATTACCAGGGAACTTGCAGAAGAATGGACTCAGCGGAGCTGGGATTTGCCCACAATAGCTGGGGTACTGGCCCTGCACCTGCATGACGCGCCAAGGGAGATGTAATGCCCAAAGTCCTCAGGTCTACTATTTATCTGGCGTAGTACAGCAGATCCCATGTGCTTGTGACAGAGAAGACACCTCCCCACACCAAGTCACCCACTCCTCTCCTCTCAGCGCAGCACCTTGTGGTATCATGGGTCAGTGCAACTCTGAGAGTACAGTGCCCCCGACTGACCCCTCCCCCACGCCACTCCCTGCCACACAGCACCCGCTAGTGCCACACTGGGGAATTGTGCATAGCAGCGGGGTGGAGAGGTGCACCCAGTACTCACCCTCACAAAGCCGACCTCTGCCCTGGCCACTGTGATGGTAATGCCATCCACCTGGATGGTCACCGACCCAATGTATGAGACCTGCGTGTTCCCCCTGTTTCCACTCTCAGCCGTGATGTCAAAGGAGTGTGGGTCGCAGTCACACCCGCAGGTCTTGGCCACGGTGTAGGTGCAGGCGCCATGGATGTCATACGGCCGTCCATCAAATGTGTGGTAATGCAAGTAACCCCCAGCCCAGCACGTGGCCGCAGAAACTGGCAAGCACTCTGGCTCCCCATCTACCATCTTACAAACTGTTCCTTCCTTGCAGAGGACCACACTGCAGGATGGCGTCGGAATATCTATCCAGAAAGACACTTGAAAGACAAGAAACAACAGACTAATCAGTTATATTTAGAAGCAGAGAAGGGCTGAGGGATGGTGGAAAAAATCTGAATTAAATTGAGTCTCAACAGAATCCCATAGCCTGTCTGTGAAATGGACAAGATGATCGATCATTCTTACCTTCCTTTTTTTTTAAATTAATCATGGTTATTAGGGTAGTGCCTAAGGCCCATCTGAGAATGGGACCCCACTGTGCTAGGTGCTGTGTAAATCTAGGGGAGGGATAGCTCAGTGGTTTGAGCATTGGCCTGCTAAACCCAGGGTTGTAAATTCAATCCTTAAGGGGCCATTTAGGGATCTGGGGCAAAAATCTGTCTGGGGATTGGTCCTGCTTTAAGCAGGGGATTGGACTAGATGACCTCCTGAGGACCCTTCCAACCCTGATATTCTATTATTAGCAGACAGTCCCTGCCCAAAGGGGCTTACATTTGAGATAGACACTGGGTAGGTAATGTACAAGCAGAGTGAATAAGATGATAACAGTCAGCATGTCAGGGCCATGATTGTTATTAATTATTATTTTATTTGAGTGGGTTTACTTAGGAGGTTTCAGCTGTATGAAAAGTGAAGAGAAAGCGATGAAGGGGACAGGGCTGGGATGAAGAGGGTAAGAGGGGCAGTTGTGGAGTGAAAATGCAATCTATCTATCCCCCACACTCCCCTCTATCCCCACTTCCGCCCTCTATATCTATTGTGGCAAATTGCTGGCACTACTATGATGGGTCTCGCGCTTTCTCTTCTTGGGGGTGGGGGTTCAGAGCACCATTTCTTGCCCCTGAACTGGAATGTTAACTGCCCCACTAGTGTCCTAGAGGAGGGGAGTGGAGAGGGAGGGACCCGGGCCTGCCCTCTACTCCGGGTCCCAGGCCAGGGGCCATAGGGATAGTGGTAAACCACTTGAACTAGTGATTCCTTCCCCTGCGCTACTTCCCTCTCCTGCCTTTCAGCTTGTGGGGGGCTTCCTGCCCTCCCTTTGCACAAGCCAGGTACCCCTTTACCTAGGGTCTTGGTCTTCTTAGCCCACCGCAGCACTTCTCCAACCTGTCCTCTGCTTCCCTCCAAACTGCTCTCTGCTCCAACACCAATCCTCTCTGCTCCAATTCCTTCCCCTGTCTGATTGAAGCAGGGGTTTTTTATCAGGTGACTGACTTCAGGGGCTCTAATTGGCTTCAGGTGCTCTAATTAATCTATAGCAAACTTTCTTCCCTCTACAGGGAATAAGGCTCCCTTCTAACCCTCTCCTGCTGCCCTCTGGCCATGCTGTATCACACTATGTATCTATTCCCCACCCACACATCTATCTATCCTCCCTCAACTATCTATCTAAATATCTAGTGTCTCCTCTATAGCTATCTGTCCAGCTATCTCACCACATCACTTACTATATCTTTCTGTCACCCTCTCTGTATCTATCCATTGTGATGATGGTGTGATCACCTTGGTGGAGAGACTATGGCAGCCCGAGAGCTGTCCCGACTACCCAGAGAAGTCTTCTCCGGAAACAAGTACCCGGCCCCAACCCTGGAAGGTCAGACAACCAAGCATCCGGGGAGCCCCAGGTGGAAGAGGGTAGTGGCCACAGAGCAGCCGGGAACCCAGAAGTGGGGGGAATAGCCTGAGCGGGGGGAACCACAGGGCAAAGACCCCTAACCCAAGAGACAGAGGAGCACCTAGAGCCTCTTATAGGTGTTACGCATGTGGAGAATGGGGACACCTAGCGACACAATGTCCCAATATTGAGGAGCCCATACAGTGTAACCTGGGGGATTGGGCAGACCCATGCAACCTAATCAACCTCGTGGGGGTCACAGTTACCCCACACCAATATAGAAAACCAGTGAAACTGAATGGGGTAGAGACCGTGGCACTTGTGGACTCTGGCAGTGCTGTCATCCTGATTTCAGGGAAACTAGTGAAACACAGCCAGTTAATACAGGTTAAGCTACGGGAGTAACATGTGTACATGGGACTGTTAGTTATTATCCTGTCATCCTGGTGAGGATCGAAATCCTGGGAAATATCACCGGGGTAAAAGCGGGGATGGTCCCTAAACTTCCATACCCTGTGCTCATTGGAAGGGATTTCCAGGGATTTGGAAATTTGCTCCTGCCAGAGGGGTGGGAGAGAGGAGAGGACCCCGAAGTTAAGGAGTCATCCCTAACAGAAAGTCACCCCCCTCCCCTTCTCTGCTGAAATATCTCAAGAGTTGTTCCCCGCCCCTGGCAAAGGCAGAAAAACCAAGAGGGAGAGGAGGGCGGCGAAGTCTTTGGGCACCTGGATTCTGCTTCAGGGCCAGAGCATGGCCCAGGCAGGCCTACGGGCATGGGGAACTGAGGAAGAAACCCCCGGAGGGGAGGAGGAGGAAACAGAGTCTAGTCCCATCCCCAATGCCACCAAATTGACCGAGGAGGTGGAGGCCAGTTCCTCGGAGTTCGAGTCAATAGGTCCCGGAAGAGAGACCTTTGGGCGAGACCAGGCAGAAGACCCCAGATATGATAATATCAGAAAAGAGGTGGCCGAGATAGATGGGGTGCCTGGGGAGGGAAAGGCCCGAGGGCCAGCGCCCTATTTCATGATTAAGAAAAACCTCCTGTACCGGGTGGTACAAATGCAGGACCAAGTGGTAAACCAGCTCCTGGCACCCCAAAAACATCAGAGGGCAATATTAAGTCTCGCCCACAGTCACCTCTTTGGGGGACACTTGGGGGTAGAGAAGATCCAAGCATGGATCTTGCGCAGATTCTTCTGGCTGGGAGTACATGAGGATATCCGGTGGTACTGCGCCTCCTGCCCTGAATGTCAGTTGCACAGCCCTTGCCCACATCTAAGGGCCCCTTTAATACCCCTACCAATCATCGAGATCCCTTTTGAGCGAATAGCCATGGACCTGGTGGGGCCTCTAGAGAAGACAACTCGAGGTCACCAATATGTGCTTGTCGTCTTGGACTGTGCAACCAGGTATCCAGAGGCCATTCCCCTATGAAATACGGCCTCCAAGTCCATAGCGAAGGCGCTGGTGGAAATTTTTGCCCGAGTAGGGCTACTGAAAGAGATTCTAACGGACCAAGGAACGCCTTTCATGTCTAAGCTGATGAAGGACCTCTGCTCTACGCTCCATGTCCAGACTCTGCGAACCTCAGTTTACCACCCACAGACCAACAGACTGGTAGAGAGATTCAATCAAACCCTCAAGGCCATGATAAAAAAGGTGGTAAGTAGGGATGGAAAAGACTGTGATACCCTGTTGCCCTACCTTATGTTCACCATCCGTGAAGTTCCCCAAGCCTCCACTGGATTCTCTCCCTTTGCCGCCACCCCCGGGGCATACTAGATATAGCCAGGGAGATTTGGAAAGAGGAGCCCAATACGGGAAAGAATATAGTTGAGCATGTATTGCAAATGAGAGACCCTATAAACCGGGTCACCCCGCATAGTGCGGGAGCACCTAGAGAAGGCCGAAAAAGCTCAGCAAACTCACTACAACCGCCAAGCAAAGGTACGGCAGTTCCAACTAGGAGACCGAATAATGGTGTTAGTACCCACGGCAGAGAGTAAACCCAGTGGCAGGGGCCCTATGAAGTAGTTGAACCTATAGGAGAGGTGAATTACAAGGTGTGACAACCGGGACTTAGAAAACAAGAACAAGTGTACCACGTCAATCTTCTAAAGCCTTGGCGTACTCAAGAAGTGTGTGTAGTTGCCCGAAAGGACCCACCTCAGGAAAACAAAACCCCTGAGCAGGTGAGGGTGTCTCCCGATTTAACATCAGCCCAAAGAGAAGAGGTGTCTGAGATGATCAACTGGAACCAAGACGTATTCTCGTCTCGGCCCGGTCAAACAACTGAGACATACCATCACATCATTACAAACCCTGGGTGCCAGCGGCCAAAAGAGAAGAAATCAGAGCAGAAGTAAAGAAAATGCTGGAGTTAGGAGTAATCGAAGAGTCCCACAGTCAGTGCCTGATCATGCTAGTACCCAAACCAGATGGATCCACAAGATTCTGCAATGACTTCTGTCAGCTGAATGAGGTGTCCCAGTTCAACGCATATCCTATACCCCGCATAGACGAGTTAGTGGACCGATTGGGAAATGCCCGGTTCCTGACCACTCTAGACTTAACTAAAGGGTATTGGCAGATTCCCCTTGCTGAAGACGCAAAGGAGAAGACCACTTTCTCCATGCCAGAGGGCCTTTTTCAATATACAGTCCTTCCGTTCAGTCTCCATAGGGCCCCAGCTACCTTTCAGCGCCTCATGGATAAGCTATTGCACCCCCATACCAGTTATGCGGCCGCCTACCTGGACAATGTGATTATTCATACCTTGGACTGGGAATCCCTCCTGGAAAAGGTGGAAGCTGTCCTAGATACCATAAGGCGCGCTGGCCTTACCGCAAATCCTGCCAAGTGCGCCATAGGGTTAACAGAGGCTAAATATCTGGGCTACATTGTGGGGTGAGGCATCGTGAAACCCCAGCTTAATAAACTAGAGGCCATCCAAAACTGGCCCCAACCGGTTCGCAAGAAACAAGTCCGGGCATTTTTGAGAGTCGTGGGGTACTTACGACGCTTTATCCCCCATTTCGCCACAATGGCGAAGGGAGAACTGCAGCCCCAGATGGGTCAGGAGAGGGAAAAACAAAAACCGCCTCCCTGGAGCCCTCATAAAAGGAAAATGAGGCAACCCTGGGGGCGGCAGCAACAGGAGGAGGGAAGGAAGAAAGGGTAAGGACAGTAGCAGGGGCTGGAACAGGGTCAGGGAAAGGGCCAGGACACAGACCTAGGACAGGAACAGGATCAGGGCAGGGGACAGGGACAAATTCTGGGGCCCAAGTCGCAAGACCACCGGGACACAGCACCTCTCACCCCGGCGTGGTCGTCAAAGGGGCAGCAAGGGATTGGGGCACCCCCACAGCTCTAGGCTCAGGTGCCCCACTAAACGAGGCACCCACAATTACAGCACTGGGGGGG